TCTTTCTAAATGCACCAATGATCCTCATATACTTAGTCGCTGAAATCTAAGGGATGGTGAGAACCTTGAAGGTCAATTGACTACTGAAGCTGGCTTTTGATTTTAGAGCATTTGCTTAGCTTGACAAACTTTCGTATTAATTTTAATTAGTTCATGAAAATGCGGAAATTAAAGACAAAACCAGAGCCTACCTAAGTAGAGCATCTAATAAGACACTAACTTATACACAGCTGATACTCCAAAGTGCTATATCCTCCACGTAAGATGAACCAGGGAAGAAATTGTCCTTCAAAGGGACTACAAGGAAACTGCATGTTTCAGCGTTGATGTGAGGCGAGGAGTAGAAGTACTCACTGAAGTTTTGTTACAACTAGGCCAATTTATAGACCATTATAATGAAGTTGCAGAACACTGAACGTGAAGAGAACATCTTAATAGCAATCAGAGAATGGGCACTTTACCTTTAAAGGAATGATAGAAGATTGATACCTGAGAGTGACGGTAGACACCAGAATTGAAAGGAAAAAATGTTTTCCGTGTGCTAAGATGTCTACATCTTATAAACCACCACGAATTATTTTGCTTCTTTCTACTCCCATCCCATACCTCAAAGCTAGTGCCATTTAAATTGTTTCCAGAGACTAGAAGACTCGTGCCATTCATGCAGTTGTCTGCTGCTAATGCCACTGCTGCAAATTGCACCTCCAGAATGGCACCACCTGACAGACAAAGACTACCATACCTGTGTGCTTGGAGTAGCTGACTTCCTTGGCAATTGTCTGGAGGGGCCAGGCACACAAACTTGAAGTATGTAGGAGTTATCAAAACCTTGAATGGAGAGGCAGGAATCAGAAAGCAGCCAGAAGATTGTTTTTCCTACTCCACTAACTCCAAAGCTCCATAATTTCATACTATAGAGATATCCTGAGAGACTAACCAAAGATATAGCCAGGTTGACTAGAAATGTTATAATTGTGCACCCTCCTTCCATAATTTACTTCCTGTTCCCCTCTGCACACGCTCTCTTGCTTCCCTGGGGTTGCACTCCTTCAATAACATAAACTTCTGTCTTAGGCTCTTTTCCAGTGGACTTCTAGGCTCCTATTTAAGCTCTATAGCAAAGTCCTCCTAAAACCACCCAGATAAACATGTAAACTAAATATGTAACAGTTTACATGTTCGCATGCAAGTGCACCCTTAAGATGATTTGTTATTCTTCCTTTTAACAAAATTGATGCCATCTTCTGAGCATCTCTCCTCTAGAAGTGTGTAACCCTGGTAGTAGAAAAGTTAAGCCATGCATGTAAACACCCCTTATATGAGGTAAAATACCATAAGTACTATGGGAGAGACACAAAGTATCCTTGTGAAATGGAATAGTTAAATTTGATGGACCACAGTATCCTGGCAAAATAGTTGGAAACTAAAATTGAAAGGTTGGGGACCAGCAGATGGCGTAATTGTTACATCATTGGACTCCCACATAGTCCACCACAGTTCGGGCCCCAGACCCAGGGAATTAAACTCAAGTCGGGTACGTGCGTGTGTATGCACACACAAGATCCTGGGAGGAAAATGGAGAAGAAAGGATTGCAGTGTGGCCAAATTCCCTGGGGAGTGATTTCTCGCTTTCTGTCTCTCTGTCTGTCTCCATTTCTCAGGCTAGTGCACATGCCTATAAAAAATAATCTCTCAACAACAACAACAACAAAAAAGAATTGGAAAGTCTTGAGATCTGACTATTATGAACCTCGATTTAATGATTAGACCTTTGACCTTTATTCCATGGATGAGGGAAAGTCATTCAAAGTTTTTTTTAATAATGTGTGATAATCCACAAAATAAAAACATATACATACATGTATATTTCTGAGCAAAGAGTTGACATTAGAATTTGACCTTCACTTAGTTCTCTAGCTTGGTTTCTTTGATAACCTGATTGTCGCTATGTTTCTTGGCAACATTGCTTATGGTAAAAATTACCCAGACTAGTAAATTGCATGTGCTCTAGCAGAAAGAATAAATAAACCCTAGAGACCTGAGGCAATGTCTGCTTTGAGTTTTCCTGAGTATGGCAGTTCTTGCAACTGAGCATACACCACCTGTGGGACCCTGTAAGCTGTGTCAGTGGAGTTGTGAAAGAAATGTTAGTTCCTATGAGACATCAGGCTTTTGAGCCGTGCAGCTCCTATACCTGCTCCAGTGTGAGTCTCATATTGCACCTGAATTAACACCTGTGTGAACTGAACTGTGCAAGGCTCTTCACGAAGGGCCCTCCTTTTTAGTGAGATTTCCTATTCTGTATAGGAAGATACCAAATGTAGCCCCTGTGAGTTTAAATTTTAGTTGAGTCAAACCTGAAAATGATTGAGATCACCTTAACTAAGACCAAAACATTTAGAACTTATGGAAGAGTGATATGATCGACTGTTAAAAATGTTACAAAGCAAGTATTACAAAGTTTAAACTTCAGAAGACAATTTGGAAAATATTTGCAAATCACATGGTAGATAAAGGTTTTATATTTATAATATGAAAGTACGTCTTACTGGTTAATAAGAAAAATATAGTGTAATGGGAAAAAAAAGACAAAGAATAAGAATAAGGAGTTGACAGAAAAGCAAAACCAAATGGCCCATAGTCATATGAAAAGATATTCAATTATGTTAGAGATTACAGAAATACAACTTAGTATTATTCTTTAACATCAGCCTATATCATACTAACAGTTACACTACTTAAGGGGTTTGATGAAGGGACAAAACAGTATTTTATTCAAACCTATTCATTCCTCTGGTACTATCATAACAATAAAATATACCATATCGAACAGTTGTATACAAATGTTTATTGAGCATTGTTATTAGTGACAACAGTGTGAATATGCAACAGTAGGAGAATGGTTGAATAAAGGGTGATGCATTTATTCCACATACTATTTAGCAGCCCGTAAAAATTATTTCTATCTCTGGGTCCAACAGATGGCATGGTGGTTAAGGCACTAGACTCCCACATGGTTGAGCACAGTTTGAGTCCTGGACCTGGCAGCTTGCTTTCTCACTTCCTCTTGCTCTCTCTCTCTGCTGAGCACACGTGCCCTATAGGAAATTTAAAAATAATCATAATAATGAATAAAACTAAATAAATGATTCTTTAAAATTTTATTTATATCTCTACTGATTGACTTGGGAGTATTTTCTTTGAAGTATTGGTGCTTACGGGGCGTAAGAAGGCAGAAAAGTATAATACAGTCTTTCCTCTATGTTGAGGAATATGGCAAATTCCTTTTGATAGAGTAGTTGGAGGAGGTATATGAGGAATAAAGGGGAAATAACACCACCAAAAGTATATAATTTCATGTATTTAAATTTATGTGAAGGTATATGTATAAATATAGTATGATTATCGACATTAAATGGTGGTTATTTGAAGGCAGTGGGATTTGGGATAATTTTAATGCTCTATCTTTATACTTTATGCATTTATAAATAATCTTTCAAGGGTTGGCAGGTGGCATGATAGTTAAGGTGCTAGACACCCACATGGTCAACCACAGTTTGAGTCCCAGACCTGGTGCTTGGAAATCATGCAGGTGTGCCCTAAATCCTGTGAGCAGAATGAAGGAGAAGGGATTGAAGTGTGGTCATCCCCGCTGGGGGATGATTTTTCAATTTCCCTATCTCTCTCTCTCTCTCTCTCTCTCTCTCTCTCTCTGGTGACCACATGTGCCCTATGGCAGAAACCTGAAAAAAAAAAAAAACCTTTGAGAGATGGATAGACAGACTGATTTGATAAAAGGAAAAAACAAAGCAACTAGTTCACTAGGAAGAGAATCACTTGCTCAGTGTCCTCTATTAAAAAGCAGTACAAGAGGAGCTTAAAGTGTGTGTAGGGCCTTGGAACTAAACCGCCTGATGACCAGCTGTGGGAACCTGGGGAAATTAACCTCTCTTGGCCTGTTTTCACCTAAGTAAAACAGAAATAATAGCAGTGTCTGTCTGTCTCACAGGTTTGTTTGAATTCCATGTGTTCCCACATCTAGAGTGCTTAGAAGAGTGCCTAGTACATACTGAGGATTCAAGAATTGTTAGGCAGTGCCTCTGTGGTGCAGAGAGCAGCATACTGAACTGCAGTGCTGGGAACCACGTAGCCTACCATGGCTTTTGATGCCAAGTAACTCTGAAGCATGATGTGCTTGGGTTCGCCCAATATCCTGGCAAGCTAGAGAAATGGGAGAAGGGGGACTTTGGTATAATGAGACTCTGTCTTCTGTTTTTTACACATGCATGCACATTTTCTCTCTCATTCACCTACTCTCTCTGGTGCTCTCTCTCATGAATGAAGTAGAATCAACTTAAAAGAATTGTTAGTACTTATTACAAACATTCGTTTTTACTGTTTTTGCAGTCCTCTGGTAGATATGTACCGAAGTACCAATCTGTCAGGTAACTAATATGATCTCCATTTTACAGAAAAGGAAACCGAGAGTTTTGAGATGCTAAAAGAGAGTCCCCAAATCTCCTAGTTCATAGTTCGCACCCACACCTTTCTTAACATAGAGCCCATAATAGCACTTGCTTTTGTTCCCACAAACTACGTTGCTTTCCTTCATTTAATATGGCATTGTGCCATGGGAGGAGCTATTGTTTGCTCTTGACATTTAGTACTTTAGGGGGAGAACTGTGTCTGAGGTGCTGGTTGTAAAGCATAGCTTTAGGAATACATCATTCTCTATAGGTTTTCTCCTCCCAAATTGTAGTTGATTATATAAGTGGTGAGAACTTCTGAGATGCTATATAGGTATAACTGCTGTAAAAGTTTTATGTAGTACATGCGTCTGTGTACTTTTGTTTGTAAGGCATAATAAGATAATCATGTTTATCTCCAAATCCTATTTCTGCATAATTATGATGAATTAACTTCTTTCTGAAATCTACTTGCTGAAAAGTAGGAATTAACAATTCCATTAACTTCATTTGAAACTTTTATCTTTTATTTAGGTTATCTTCATTGTAATGAGTATGATAGTCTGAGATTGAGGTGGCTAAGACAGACCTTAGAATCTTTTATCCCAAAGCCTTTAATAAATGTAATTAAAGTGTCTGAATTGGACGGCAGAGAGATGGGAGACGCCCAACCTGAAGCCTTTGACAAGGTACTTTTATTACATTGTGACAAACTGATGCACTCCCAGTGACACCACTGTTAGGTTGCTTTGCTGGTGTTGTTTTCCATCATGCTCCCAGATATGTTTGATTCAGGATCTTAGGATTCTGGAAACTTTTAATAAAGTAAACATGGAAGCAGTTTTCACTTGATGATCAACGTGGTTCAAGGGAAGTAGTAACATTGGGATTGGGGGTTACAGAATGTTTTATACTTCCAGGTACCTCAAAAATACTCAGGAAAAGATCAAATATTATTCGGGCCAGTACACAAGTATTACTTTAATTCAGGAACATTTCATATCAGAATATGACAGCTGAAAAAAATAAGACCATTTCAGCAAACTGAAATTGAAATATTAGTTCTTAAAAATAAACGCTGAAAAATCAGAAATAGTGATGTCTATTGAGTGAATAGGAGTTGTAAACATTTTAGCCATGGTTGTGAGGAATGTCAGCTATCATTAATACTTTTTGTCCTTTCATTTTCCTCTCTCCCTCATTCCCAAAGAAACACTGAAAGTAAATAGGAGTTTTTTAAAATGTATGTATTAGTGAAAAAATGTCATAAAGAACTAAAACATGGTGTATACTATTTTCTATTTCAGAAGAAATGTTTTTATTTATCTGCCACTTGTTTGTCACACTCCTCTGTATATTTTGTGTCTGAAAATACTTTTTAGTACATATTTGCATTGTTTGTCCTTTATTTCTCTAGGTGTTAGTTGATGCACCATGTTCAAATGATCGCAGTTGGTTGTTCTCTTCTGATATTCAGAAGGCAGCCTATAGGATAAGTCAAAGAAAGAATTTGCCTGTTCTACAGAAAGAACTTTTAAGGTGAGGACTATTAATATAAATGTGAATTTTGGGTTTCTAACATTTTTTGGCTAGCAGGTGGCGTGGTGGTTAAGGCACTGGGTTTCTAACATTTTTTAAATAAGTGTGTTAAAACATGGTAAGCCTCCAATTGGAGGGTTTCCCAGGTAGGTGTCAACAATTATCCTTCTAAAAACTGCCCTCTTAACATGCCCAACCACTTCTCTTTCAGTTTTGCTTTTCATGCCCACCCCCCCCCCAATTTAATGTAGTGTCACTATGCATTGTCTTTTAAAGGACAGACAATTTTACCATGGTTCAAAGTTGTTTATTTAGGACTGTCCTGAGACCAGGGTTCATATCTCCCATTTTTTCTTTTAACAGAAGCTGAGCAGTCCCCCTATAAGACTAGTTTTGGACCAGGATGCATTTTATGGGAATGTTCTGGCTGAGTCAGCCTTCTAGGAAGTGGTATGTTAGCACTTATCCTTCCTCTAAGAACTTTCTAGAAAGGTCTAGCTACCAAGAGATAATTTGGTTTCTATCAGAACATTTGGGGAGATCCTTGTTCTGGTTCCAAAAGAGATTTCCATTTATACCCTAATTTCAAGTAATTCCTGTTGTTTAATGCTGAACAAAAATTCTCTAGAATGTTTAAACTATAGTTAAATGGTGCCTTTTCACTGATTACCTATTCATGTTGAATGACTTTATGCACTTCTGACAACATTCTTGACTCTCAGCTTCTACCTGATAAATAATAATTAGCAAATGCTATTACTAAAACATTACAACCAATACTACTAGTATAGTCTTGTTCTTACACTAAATTGTGTATTGGCTTACTATGGTGATTCTTGGTAATACCTACTGGAAGGTTGTTCTAGATATGTCTCATCTGCTAGACCATTTGTTTTCTTCTGATGCCAGCCTCTTATATGCTGTTACCCTAAGGTATTTTGAAAACTCCATACCTCCTTATTCTTTTATCTCTTGGGTTATTAGCTTTGCACTGTCGCCTAAATCCTTTTCTAGAATTATTACTGCTACTGTGTGCTTTTGTCATCCCTTCCTTATACCTTATAGTGGATATTGAATCTGAAGATGGCCTATTATCAGCATCAAGGACTCCAGTTTTTGTTTATTTTTTTTAAACTATGAATAAGCAACCAGGCTTTTTATTATTTTTTCTTCTCACCTTCATGGAAAATTTCCCTTTTAACTTCTTTTTCTTCCTGTTCATTACTAGACTTTATATGTTTTATATTTCATCTTTTGCATTGTCTCTTATTTTTTCTCAATGTATTGTATTTTACTTTCAGTTTCCTTGAGTTTTCCAAACCTATGCTTATTAAAGCTACTACTCACTATTTGATAGGTATCTTTTATTGTAATTTTACTTTATCTGTTTTGCAAAGATTTTATAAGACTTTTAAAATATATGTATTTATTTATATAATACCTGAAAACATCCTTATTGTTAAAAAGTAATAATAATACAGATGAAGCAATAATACAGATGCTCACATACCTAACCAAAATCAACATTCTTCATAGAGTTAATTTTTGAACTTAAGTTTATATACTTTTCCAAACTTTTCTTATACAATTTTTTGTAATCCTTCCAAACTTCTCTTACACCATTTTTGTAACTGCATCTACATGGAGAAATACATTAAAATAGTTGCTATTTGGGCTGGCATGCAATGTGGTGGTTAAGGGTGCTAGACTCCCACATGGCTGACTGCGGTTCAAGTCTCAGACCTAGTGACTTTCTTTCTCACTTTCCCTCTCTCTCATTCTCTCACTCTGTTTCTCTGTGGTCAAATTAAAATAAATAAATTAAGTTTATATACTTTTCCAAACTTTTCTTATACAATTTTTTGTAATCCTTCCAAACTTCTCTTACACCATTTTTGTAACTGCATCTACATGGAGAAATACATTAAAATAGTTGCTATTTGGGCTGGCATGCAATGTGGTGGTTAAGGGTGCTAGACTCCCACATGGCTGACTGCGGTTCAAGTCTCAGACCTAGTGACTTTCTTTCTCACTTTCCCTCTCTCTCATTCTCTCACTCTGTTTCTCTGTGGTCAAATTAAAATAAATAAAGTTAAATAAAATAATTATTTAAAAAATAGTTGCTATCTTTATGACTATGTTGACCTGTAACTGGTTATTGTTTTGTACTTCACATTTCTTAGTCTGTTTCACATAGATCTACTTTATTCTCTTTAACATCTTTGAAATATATGACAATCAGTCTGTTATATTCTATTTAATCCTCTGGGGGTACTTACTTTTTTTAAAAAAATACTTTTATAAACTATCCATCAAGTTGTCTGGTTGAACAGACATACTAGTATTTTTCTTGATTAACTAATGAGAAATAGAATTGGAAATTAAACATTTTAATACTTATGAGGAGTTGTTCCCCAAAAAAGTTGTGTCAGTTACTCACTCTTGACGTTGTGACTGCTTGCTTCCTGTTAAACTGTTCTCTTCCCTAGACAGTCGTAAGCATATGATTTTCTGGTTCTCTTCCTACTTCTTCAGTTATGCCTTCTCCATGTTTTTCTCAGTTTATTCTTAAGAATTCATCCCACAAATGTGGAATTTCCTTGGGCTTCTAATCATTCTTTTCTCTATCTGACAGCTTCAACTGGTATAAGATCTTATCTGCCAAATATGTGTCTAAGCTCAGATCTTTCTCCTTAGTCTTAGACTTGTGTTCAGTTACCTATGAGAGAGCTCTAAGCACATAAAACTCAAGATAAAATCCATAATTTTAAACTTTTCTGTTTCCCCTCAAAATCTACAAAAAAATCAAAATTATACCAACTTGCCTCTTCTCTTTTCTGTTTTTCTAAGTGCCATACAACTACGTTTGCCTAAGTCAGACTGATCAATTTTCCTCCTTTTCCTGTATTCAACTAATCACTAAGATGTCTCAGTTTTACCTGTTAGGTATCTTCCAACTCCATCCAGTTTTTTCTCTCCATCCTTAATAGTCTGACCTAAGCAACCAGCATTGGTGATCTGAATGGTTTTAACTGACTCCCTAACCGTCCTGCATGGCTCCAGTTACTCCTTCACTCTGCATGAAGTCAAAGTGATACCTCTGACAGTGTAAATTTGATCATGTCATTCTCCTAGAAATCTTGTAGTGGTTTCCCATTACCAGTAAGATTTCCAACTCTTCAGTAAAACCTTACCTAGCTAGGATTGAAATTGATATTCCTCTAATGTCTTTACATTTTTTTTTAATGAATCCAATTTTTATTTATTTATTTATTTTTAGGTTTTTGCCATAGGATGTGTGCACAGAGAGGGAAAATGAGAAATCACCACCTGGAAAGTGTGAAATCACCCCCCACCCCAGAAATATTGTCCATGCTGCAATCCTTCTCCTCCTTTCTTCTCTTGGGATTTTGGGCATACATGCACACATGCCTGGCATGATTCTCAAACTGCCAGTTCCATGTGGGAATCCAGCACCTTAATCAACACACCACCTGCCAATACCTAAAAATATATTTATTGTCAGTTCCCCTCCTAGATATTTGTTTCTTGCTTCAAGGCTATATGCTCCATTGGAGCAGGTATTCTACTATTTTTATTCTTACTGTTTAATTCGGTGCCTGATATGTAGAAGGGGCTCAATAAACAATAGTTTAAAAACAGTAAATTTCAGGCCAGCACGTGACACAGAGATTACAATAACTGGATCCCACATGACCAACTGTCTGGTTCAAGTCCTGGACCTAGCAGCTTGAAAAAATACACCAGGCAGGAGCCAGCAGATGGCATAGAGGCTGTGTCGCTGGATTCCCTTATGGCTGATCAGGTCTAGTCCCAGATCCTGTGGCTTGAAACTCATACTGGACATGTTGGCATGCATGCCCAAAATCCTGAAAGGAGAACAGAAGAGGAGGGATTGCAGTGTGGTCATTCTCTCTGGGGAGTGATTTTTCACTTTCCCTCTTACTGTGTCTGTCTCTCTCCCTCTCTGGGGAGTACATTTGCCTAAGGCAAAAACATTAGGAAAAACAAAAAAAAAAAAGAAGAAGAAAAATACACCAGGCACAGTTCGAGTCCTACACTCGGCAACTTGAAAAATAAGCCAGGCATGTGTGTATATGTACCTAAAATCCTCTTGAGAGTGGAGAAGGAATTGAAGATGATTTCTCACTTTATCTCTGGTGAGCACATTTTTTTTTTTTTTTTGGAGAGGTTTTTGTCATAGGGCGCGTGCGCTCGCCAGACAGACATAGAGACAGAAAGCGAGAAATCACCCCCCAGGGGGGGATGGCCACTCCGCAATCCCTTCTCCTCCATTCTCCTCTCCGGATCTTGGGCACACACACACACGCGTCCGGTGTGAATTTTAAGCCACCAGGTCCGGGATGTGAACCACGGTCAACTACATGGGAGTCCAGCAACATAGGCATTACGCCAACTGCTGGTCCTCAGCACATGTTAATAAATAAATAAAAACAGCAAATTTCAAAGGCTGGGTATTTAGAATTTTGAGCTATAATTAAATTTATGTCAAAGTTAATCTGTCAAAAATGATGATGTAATCATTATGCTGCAAGGTTATTAGTCATAAATGTAAAGCAATTCACATAATTTACTTTGATTAATAATGCTTTTATGTAGCCAAGGTATAGTTTTTATATCATATAGGCACACTTATGTCCTAACATCAGAGTCTGGATGGCCACTGCACTGCCCCATCATCTTAACAATCCCCTACTCCCTCTACTTCCCACCCCCCAAAGGAATGGCTTTAGTACCACATCATTTTTGTAGCAAATCCACAGGCACAAAACTGAAATCTCCATCACAATGAACGTGGGTTTTCCTGGAGTCTTTGTGATTGGAAAAGGCTACCACACCAGCCATCTCCCATTGTTTTCCTTGAATAGCTGCTCCACATTCCCTGCTTCTGCTCTCTGGTTTTATGTGAGAGGTTTGGGAGCAATTTGAAGCAGCTGAAACTCTGAATCCCTTGGCTA